TGAAGTTGTTCTGCAGAGTAAAATTCTACGCAGTTTTTAAATTTAAAGTTTGGTGTTCCCTTCAGCCATTTTTCCGGTACATTTAAAAGCCAGACGAAGGCTGGCAGCGTAGCTGCTAGGCATTATATAAAGAGCATCTCTGATAAACTTGCTTTAATACAGCAAACTGTAACTTAAAAATACAGTGACATTTATTACTATTAAAATCATTAACTGCGTGGAGGCTTCTCTGCATACTGTATCAAATTTGATACTATGTGGTAGTTTTTTTTTCCTTCCAAATATACAACTACAAATTCGCGTATTTTCTTCTCCTTGTGTGCATCGTGTTAATTTTGAAATATGTCACAAGGCATCTGAAACGCAAAACAATTACGTTTGTAAAATATTTTAGTTTTTTAAGGCAATTTTACACACCGTTTGTTTCCAAAGCCTATCTAATACCCTCGAAAATTAAAATTATTACAAAGTGCATCGTTGTTGAAATCATTACTAAGATGTATAATTAGATTTTAACAAAAAATTTCATGCATAGTTATAACTTTATTTTGATCACTCTGAAATTAGTCTTAGCAATATTACTTTCAAACACTTTGTACATTATTCTGATATTACACACGGAATTAGCTAAAAATGTGATTTAATAGCGATACCAAGAACCTAAAAATTTACACATTTAAGTTAAAATTCTATGTTTAAATATCACGTTGCAATGCCTTTAATTGCTAATTTTAAAAACACCCTACTGGAACAACGCAAAAATTTTTAGATAGCAGAGATTTACTAAGGATACTGAAGATATCTTCTCCTTTAACAAAATGTACATGAAAATAAATTAATACTGTTTTGAAATCTGACATTATTTTTGAACTGTTTTATTAAGACAGCTCACCAAATCATTTTAGCTATTTTGCGTTTTAGCAAAAGAAATTATTTTCTAAAATTGGCAAGTTCTTCAACTTTTGTAAAAGTATATATGTTGATGCCCTTATTATTATGTAGTGAAACTGTACTGATTTTCTTTAAATTATTCTTTTTATTTTAAATTCATTGATAAAAGTGTGCTACATAATTTTTATGCAGATATAAAAGGCTAAATTTTAAGCAAAGAGAGGTGTTTATAGGTCTATTTTACAATAATGATTAAATATAAATTAAAATGATCAGAGTTTATTTTACATATTACCTATTAAACTATAATACATACGTAACGAAAAAAGTTTTAAGTCCAAATTTCTTAAATATTTGACTGAGAAGAATTATTTCTCATGAAAAATCAAACTTTCCTTGATGTGGAGGTAATTATTCCTTTCTCTTAAAAAAAGGTGAAATTTTCTGTTTATAGGAACACATTTATTTATTTATTATTTAAAATATAATATTTTGTGAAGAGACACAATTAAAACTCAGTTAAAAATTTCTTTCGGATGTCGGTTTACAACAGGAAAAAGATTTAAAAGTTAATTATTATGTAAAAAGAGAAATACCATTTCTAATTTTCCCAATTTTCATTCTTCATTTATAACAGTTAATGTTTTGGAAAAGATTATTCATGATAATCAATGGAAAATTTAACACGATTTTTGCATTTAAAATTTACAGTAATATTGATAGAGAAACACAAGCAGTCGTTTTACTTACCGTCTTCTCATAAACAAATTCAAAAAGTACTCTTAGGCACAGTTGAAAATCTCCGCGAGAGAGAAGGGCACTTGCCTTGGCCAGGAGTAGATGAGGATGAAAAAGCGAAACCTAGAAATTAGGGTTCTCCAGCTTCCCTGCGTGCCCCTATGTAGCTCCAATGTCACGTTATGACGACGTCAGCCTTTTCTAAAGCACGACCTCAAGTGTAATTTTTTTAACTTTTTTTTCCCCATTATCATTTTCTTATTTTGATAAAGCGTGACGACTAAAGAAAAACTATTTTTGCTGTTCTACATTTTTCAATAATATTTCATTCTCCATCGTCGAGATAGTAAAACCTTTTACTATGGTCAAGTGGGTGAAACTCTTGAGGAAAAAAAAGAAAATGTGCTGAAGAAATGAAAAATTACCTTTCGTTTTGTATTTAATATTAGAACTTAGTATAATGTTTTTAAGGATAAATTGTTAGTTAGTAATTTATAAAGTTATAAATTTAAAGATAACATTTTAAAATTAAATTGTGAGATTTATCTACATAAGTAGCAGCATAGCAGCATAACTAGTAAGAAATTCATACACAAGCAAACCAATTTAACTTAACATAAAAGTATTTTTTCTTACAGGTACAATGCGACTATAAGAATGTACAAAGATCCAAGACTGCGTTATATTTCTTCATTGCTTAAATTGTCAAAAGCAAGAATGGAAATACTTCTGAAACTTTTTTATTACAATGAGAAATACATAAAATATAATTTTTCTTCTATATTAATGTAGTACTTATTATATGATAATATTTTAACTCTATTTGCCCAGGTATCTAAACAAACTGAAAATGAGACGAATAAGCCGTAACAAAACAGGAAAAAATTGCAATCTGGAAAACTTCAAGTAACAATCTAACACCTTAAAACATTTACCATTAAAGTTTGAAAACATTTTAAAAATTAGAAGCATAAAAATCGTAAGATTTAATTAATATTGCACTCTGATCTTTACGCTGATTTAAATTTAACTTCTGAAATAATTCTTCTGAAAAAGCTAAGTAGTTACGGTAGGTCTATTACTTCAAGAATTTGTCCCCAAAAATAAAAATAGAATATAAAACCCCCATTCATAAGTTAATGCGCGCTTACATAATAAAAAGATATGATTATTTCAGATGTAGTTATGCATTATAACGGTGAATTACATGCCCTAAAGATTTGCAATAAATATTTCCCCCTAGTAGCAATACTAAACAGGTCACCAGACCCTCGGGGTGAAAATAAAAATCATCTTCGCAGAGTTTTCTAAAAGTTGTTTAAAAAAATGAAAAAGACGAAACACAAAAATTTCGCTATTATCAGTAACAAAATGAGAGATGTCAAATAATAACACAAAAATTTGAAAATTAATGTAAAGTTGAATTAAATTATAATTGTTTGGAAATAGAAAATGTAATATAGAAAAGCTGTAATCCATAGCCGAAGCTAAAACTAAAGAATTGAAAATTATGATCTCTTTTGTCTGTTTTCAGCCCTTGCCTTTAGAATAGAACATTTCACACTCTCAATTTTGTGTCTTCTTTAAAAATTTACCTCCATGAAAAAACGTTTATCTAATTTTAATTGTTATATATTTAGCCTTTTTATTTTAATAGTGCATATAGTAAAAGGTAGTAATGTACCTTTGTTTTATCATAAAATTGTACTCTTAAAATATGTAACACATCACATATGAAATATTAAATTATATTATTTGCTTATATGGTGATTTACTTAATATTGGTAAAATATAAATAATATATACCTTCAGATGTATAACTGATATTATATCAAACAATCACAGTTGAGAATTTTTAAAGAAAATAAAACAAAAACTGACTTTTATATTTTTTTCTTCGCTATCTTTCTAGTACAAATACAGGAATATTTTACCTATTGTCTGCGCTTCATTAATCTATAAACTCCTATCATCACAATTAAGTTATGCATTATAAGTTATACATTTAAGTTGTGAAAACATTAAAATGCGCTGTTTTTTACATCTTTCATAAAATTAATGAATTTTCATTCGGAGAAAAGGAATGTTTAGTTCTTTGTTAATAGCCACTTTACATATTTTATAAGCAATTAACAGTATTATCATCAACATAATCATTAGAAAAAATTAGTAAGTTTTACATAGTAAAAACATTGTACAAACATTCATGTCTTGTTGATAGTGACTTAGTAAAAGTTAATTAATTTGCACTTTGTTATACTGATAATTGATTCAGACCTTTTCTTCTATCATATCAAACCTTTTTGTAATATGAAATTACTTTTTTTTTCGTATTTAGCGTTATTGTGGCTTTTCTTCATTCGCTTACTCAATATCCTGGGACAAAAAAGAATTTTACGAACAGGTTCGAAATTGGAATAAAGGGTCTATAAGAAATACTATCATTTAATAAGCGAAAAGTGAAATTTTATTAACCAGTGCTACAAAAATAAGCACGAAGTCTGAATACGTGCCCCCATAAAAGTAGTAAAAATTAGTTATAATTGTCTTGTTGTTTAGTTTCATTAATATGAACAGCTGAAATGAACTCAACTATATATTTTAAATCGGTATCTATCATGTTGGAATAAATTTGCAAAATTCTGATAACTTGATTTATACTAAATGCGACCTAGAAAAGCACACATTTATTATTGACACATCACCCGATTTTTAATTATATACCAACAAATACGGTTAGCATAATTTGATAATTAATTTCTCAGAAACACTTTCACATCAAGTTTTCAAGCACAGGAATTTTTGACATTATATTTTTGTTTTCTATAAGTTGTTTCATCGTAAATAACCTGCATATTTATTAATAACTTGCATATTAATTAAAAATAAGTTACCGGTTATTAACATATTTAATGAGATTTTCTTGTACCCTCTTATTAAACTAATTAAAATTAAACTTAATAAATGAAATTTTTATTTAACTTTCAAAGCTAATCAACATGTTAATAATCTGATATTATTATCTATAATCTATCACTTATTTAAATAAAAAATTTGCATTTCTGAGCAGTTTACAGTCCACAAGAATTATGAAAAATAACTATTGAATTGTTTGACTATGTTACAAATTATATTGCAGTAGGAATTGTAATTTTTTATTTCTAGGAGAATGCCCCGAAGTTTAATTAATCCCCCAAACATTTTGAAATTTTTATATTTTCCGAAGATACGTTTAACAATAAAATAATTCTTTTCTAAACTACTCATTCTTTAAAAAGAATAATTTCAAAATGTTTCGACAAATTGAAACGTAAACGAGAAGGTTATTAAAAATAAATAATTTCATGCTTATCAATAAATTATGAACTTACCGATTGCAAAATTTGTGTTTTGTCTTTCGAAAATATCTTGATAAAATGCTTTAAAAGAGTTCAAAATAAACACAGTTTATGACATTCTTGATTATTATGAGTTAGATTAAACCGTTTATATCTATTCTAATTATTTTTCCAGCTTCTTTGTACATTCAAAACCTGTTTACTATTCTTCAGGTTACAAAGTCTTGATCATTTTAAGGGCATTGAATTTCCTGCCACTGTCAGAGATATCTCTACAGCAACAAGTACAGTGAGTAAAAGTTCATACGTACATGGTGAGATTTAAAGCTATGTACTAAAAGAAACAGCAATGAAATTTATACAAAGAGATTTAAAATGTCAACGATGAGAAGTTTGCTGTAACATCATATCTAACATCTATTAATATTTACACTATACAAAATTCATCGCAGCTTTCTCTGAATTTATATTTTAAAGTAAATTTAAAAATTTTGAACTTGCTTAGAAATTCTAAAACAATTTTGCCTTTGCTTAGTTACTCAGACCTTATTTTTTTATCATTTCAAAGATTAAAATCTAATATCACTTGATGGTTAACTTAATATTGCCAATGTGACTAGGTAGAACAAACTAAAAATGTTAAATTTGGAAATTATCCATTTTCTGTATGTTTCATCTCTTAATTCACAATAAGTCATATTTCCAATATCCGAATTGTTAGCTATACTATTTTAATCCCATTTAGCTTCCTGTCGTTTTTATTTATAACTAATTTTGTTTCGGGATATTAATATTCAATGTGCAAGATCATAATTTTTGTCCTTACAATTCTGTTTCTAAAACAAAAGTTTCTTGATGCATATCTAAAAATTTTACACTGATCCCTTCAAAACCGCTTAATGTTTTTTTGAGGTAACTAAAGCTGGAATAAACTTTTCTTGCGGATCAAAATATTTAGGAGTTTTTTTTTTTTTTCAGTTTAAAAACCATAGTATTCTGTTTCTCACCACAGACCTTGCATTCATAGGTATCATTCAGGAATAATTGCAATGCAGCTAAAAATCAATGAAGTACATTGTGAATTTTTCCCATCTCAAACAAGGCAAACCTTTTTTAAACTATTTCTAATCTTTTACCAATAACATAATTTAGACTAGTTCTCACACAAAATAAAGCTACAAATTCGCAATAAAAATTTATATTAATATTCTGCATACTTTTATCCAAATTATCTGTTGTTAGTTGCTAACATCATAACTCCTTTCTAAACAAAAGTGAAATGTTTCAGACAACATATTCAATCATCCCCACATTCTACTATTTACTAAAAATGCTAGATTTGCATTCATATCTGTTTTTTAGCCAGGGTCTGATTTCATCAAAGTGCCTCTAAATTATTTCGTGGAAGATATGCTCAGTTCTAATCAGCGCTTCATGTCTTTCCATCTTACTGAAACGATTTTAAGCAATCAATTATTCCCTGCTTTTTCAGGTTGTGTAATCTCTATTTCATCAGCAGAGATTTTTATCATTACCCTCACAAACATCCGTGTTTTTCTTTTTTATTTTGAAGGAATGCAAAATCCTATAACGATATACCTGAAGCACTGCAATTTAACAATACATTTGTTTGTAATTATGAATTCGTTTGAGATATTATGCTTCAGCTCGCATTTCAATCTAATGAATGCAAAATCTATGCTGTCATCACACTACGAAATTTCTAAATGCTTCTGCTGCCTAACCAGTAAAAGATGAAGCTTGCATAAATACTATGTATTATTATTTTGAGTATGTTATCTTTTTTTCTCAAAATAAAAGAATTTGATTGAACATTCTGTAGTCGATGCATCGATGCAGAGTTCCATCAATCTGGAAACTTCTTTCTCTATTCATAACTGCGAAGAAATAGATACAATGCTTTTAGAAAAATTAATTATGATGTAATGCATCACCGTTTTCGGTGATGTATTACATCATAATTAATAATCCATTAATAATCCAAGCCTTTCTGTTGTTTGGGTTTAATTACCTTGTAAAGTTTAACAGAGGTAGAAGTCCTCATGCTGAATGGGTTTAAATCTAAGTAATCCTGAGTAGGTTATTGACTGGTGTAATTCAGTTTAGCCCTTTTTGCAGAAATGAAGAATTTTAGTGCCATTCTTATTTATTTAAATAAAGTGCATCTGAAATTATTATTATCTTCAAGTATTTTGGGATTTTCTTGCATTTGATTCGGTTAAAGCTCAGCAAGTGCGACTTGATGAGCCTCGTTGATTTACAGTACTTTGTTTTCCTATTGAGTGCTTCAAAGTTCATTTGTAAATCTATTTCATAATTTGAATCATCTTGTTTTTCTAAAAGAATATATTGATTGCTTTTTGCTTATACATCGATTCTTGTACATAATTTTATATCCTTCATTTTAAAATAATCCTATTCATTCACTATGAGCAGCTATTACAATCCAAAGGAATTTAAATGTTTCAATATCAGACGTTCAGATTCAATGAAGAATTTTGAGTATCTCTGTTAATTCCAAAATGCTTAAATTTTTAGCATTTTCCTGTAATTTTGCTTTGCTTATTGGATGATCTTTTCATAGATTGCACTTAATAAACTGCGAAATTCTTTTGTCTTGTTTGTTTTCTTTTACATTTTTGGTATTCTATTTGATGAAATCCATATCGATGATTCATATTGATGATTACATATGCATTTTCGTAACTGCTAATTTAATTCTATCTTTAAATGAAATTTGAAATTTTGTAGCTGTCTTCAGGGTACATCTTTTTTGTAAACGATTTCAGTCAGTTTTGTTCTTCAGTAATTATTTCGTAATTCATGTCCAAATGTTGCATCAAAATATTAATATGCTTCACTTGCGTAGCCTTTAAGCAGTAGGCTCACTTGGACATTTGGCGAATTTCAATTTAGTGCTGGCATCAATTTTTAATAATGGTGCACTTTCCTCTTTTTCTTAATAATTTCCTTGTTATTAAATTTAGACATATCTCAGCAGTTTCTTCGGCTAAACGTAAATTTAAAAGAGTGCTCTTGTTGATCCATTTCAATGATCTGCTAATTTGGCATTAAAGAATTTAGCTAATGTAAAAAAAATTACTTAATCTTCTCTTAATCCAAATAAATAAAGAAATCTGTTTGTAACCCAAATGAATTAAATTGACAATCGCATATTTGATCTTCGAATTCATGGATCTGGTTCCTTTTAAGTAACCATTTCGAACGTTACGCGCTGCAATTTAAATTAGAGGACTACATTCCTGGAGACCAGACTGTTCTTCGACGTTTGCATTCTACTAAAATAACCGTTTATTCGTCTTTCCCTTTTCACCGCTTAAACGAAGTGCCTAATCCACACTCATAGATAAAGCCTATTTGCAACTCCTGGGAACATGCCTCAGCAACGGGTTCGCGAATTTAAATCTGTACAATAGATCCTTTTACAAATTTCCTCGTCTTCGTCTCGGAGTCAACAGTGCCAAAGGCTCTTCAGAAATTCACTAAGCACATAAGCTTCCCTGGCTTCGAAGAAGGAATAAAAAACGGTGAGAAAAGGAGAATCCAAGGATTCCTCACCAAAAGGAAGCTTTTCGTGGAAAGAGGAGAGAGAACGCCTGCCTCTTAGAATCCCACACGGGAAGCTGAAGAGCAAAATCCCAGCAGCATCACTTAGCAGCTCTCCCGTGTACTTTAGATGGTCCTCTCTGATTGGATCTGTGTGTGTAATTACTGCTATCGATTTTGTCACGTGGCAAGCCTTGAGTCTTTTGTTCTTCGCTCATTACATTATAATTCTTTTTCCCCCTTCTCAACTACGTCATCAACTCTCCCATCCCCACACCCCAGACCTCCATCCCTATTTCTCGAATCTACCGCAATTAAAGAAGTGACACGTTGGGATCAAGGGATGGTGGTGGTATGGCACGGGAGAGGGGGGATAAGTATTTCTCACTCTGGCATGTGCATAAAAAAATGCCCGGATGACCTATTTCCTGAGCATCGACAGTCGCGATTACCATGGTAACAACGTTTGTTTTAATGAGACTCTCCCGATTGTTACCATGGAAACCAGAGGATGGGAGGATGGAGTTAATTGAAATAAATTATAATTTTTAATGAGTTACGCCTGTAATTTGGGTGTTCCTAAGCATAAATAATTAGTACATTATCTTTTGTTCTGATCACATTGTATCGAGTTAATGAGATAATTTACTCTCAAGGTCATGTGCAATAAGGTTAAGGATGAAGTGCCATAATGCGCGCAATATTTCATTTAATTCCCACGCTCAGCGCTTCACATTTGTCTACTTGTTTTCAAAGGGAAGAGAGATCAATCTCTACGCTGTTGCTATCGTCAGCTATGTTGCAGTTAGAAATAGGAAAGACAATAACGTGGGAAATGTTTTTGCTTTTATGCTGATAATCAGAAGCAGATTAATTTAAATAAAGTGCATACTATTTTATATAACAGAGGGTATTTATTCATTCGAATTAAATAAACCCATGTGTGAAATATATTCGAAAATATTAAAGTCTTTGGATATATAGTTTATAACTACATAATTTAAGTTTACATCTGAGGCTATAAAGTATTTGCTAATAAAACATAATACATAAATTTTATAAAAAAAATGTTCTGTTGTCAATCTGTACTTGAATAAAGATAAACCTCGTGAAGCAAAAATAGCATCCTGTTGATAAAGCAAAGAGTCTGAAAATAATAATATAAATTTTTCCCTTTTGTATTTTATCACAACGTATTAGTTTACTTAAACTTTTTTCAAGCACTTCTTTTCAACCTAATTCAGTTTCAATATATATTTACTAATATATTTAATGAAATTATACTGAGTAAATATTCTTTTTCTACTCGCTTATATTTTTGGCCTGTTTAGTATAAATTTAAGCATAATCACTATTTACTATACATATATATGCTATATATGTATGTAGTGAAACTCTCTTGGCAACCACTTTCTGTATACAACCATCTTCCACAGAAAACCAAAATCATTTGGAACCGTAAAGTATCGTTCCAGAAAGAATTCATTGTACATATAATCATGCGCTGTACATTTATATGCTGGGTTCTCGGTACTCACAGTTTCAGACGATTTTGGTCATCTGTAATTGTGGTCATCTTAGAAAGGTGACGTTAAATTAACGATGTTTATTTAAATCTCATAAATACTGATGATTGACTCACTTTTAAAAGCGATCGTATTAGGAAGATGATATTAATCAACGAACATATAAGGTATTTTCTCCCTCCTTTCTGCGTGCCTTCGCGGTGTAATGGTAGCAAACTCGGCATATCCGACAGGTCGAAGTTCGAATCCCGGTGAGCGCGCTGCTCATTTTTTACGTCTCAAGCATCGAAATAACATCATGACTCTACACTGGCGCCCGAACTAAAAGGTGGTGGACGATGATTCTTCACCACCAGGATTTGGTGACTGGGTCCCCTAATCCCCAGTCGTCCTTTAAAAGGAGAGGTAAGATATTTTCTCCTTCATTTCTGCATGCCTTCGTGGTGTAACGGTAGCACCCTCAGCATATTCGAGACATCCAGACTCGTGTCCCGGCGAGGGTTTTGCTCATTTCCACGTCTCCAGCATCAAAATAACCTAATGACTCTTCAAACATAGTAGTTTTTAAACTAATAATAAGTCATTCACCAATAAATTATCATGATCGTTATGATGTTTAGAGTGTTAGATGGGTTGAAATTTTAAGAAATCTTTGTATCTCTAAGAAAGTAAATCATACTGATTACGAGCGAAAGTTCGAAATATTTGCCTGAGGCCATAGTTAAATTTAACATGCCATTAATGATGATAACAAATGAAACCATATGCAAAAAGACAAATATTAACAAAGGCATTGGTAATAAATGAGTAAAACGTGTACTACTAAAAATTTCGAAAGGTCAGCAGTGTGTTTTACTTCATAGATGAATGCGAAAAATGAGACGCTCGAGTTCGATTCTTTGTGTTAGATTCTTTCTGTTTCATTTTTGCCCTCACAGTAGAAAAGAAGAGGTACGTTTGACCTTCGAAAATATTGTACTGCGTATACTGCTTACATTGCGTCAATTCCTGTAGCTAAGGTTTTCACTTGTTTCGTATGAAAAACCTAAATACATAATAGTTATTCATAAAGTTGCTTAGGAAAATAAATAGTAATGTTGTTTAACCTTTATATAATGCTGTATATGAATGTTCTGTTCAGTTAAACATTTATTATTTTTAAATACCTAAAAAAACTCATTTTACAGATTTTGTCATGCCATTATAATAGATAAATTTAGAAAAGCTTAGAAATTATCAATTTCATTGTATTTAAAAGATTGATAAATCATCCAATATTTGTATTTAAATTTGAATAAAAATTCTTTCTTTTTATAGCACCATAATTTACATTCACATCACAATCGATATATTAACAAAATATTGAGATACTTTCATTAAGGAAAGTTCTCAAAAGTAAGGAAAAGTTCTAATACAAAGCTTTGAAATCTATTTCTTTTAATAAGAATTCGATGATTGTACATTTATGTAAACATTAATAACAGTTATTGCTACTAATTAACTAACTGATTATTACACAGATGAAGTTCTGGAGACATTAGGTAATTTTTGGGAGCGAGAGAGATGAAAAATTAGCAAACGCCTTCGCCGGGAATCGAACCACGGGCCTCTGGATACCGGCCTAGCGTGCAGAACCACTACATCACGAAGGCAAGCTAAGAAGGTGGACTAAATACCTTATAAAGTGAACTGTTGTACCTTACTCAATTGGGAAAAATCTGAAATTTCTTTGCGTATGCTGAGACTATTGAATAAATTAATCGTAAATTTAATGAAATTATTGATATTTCGCTTTATAATATTTAAAACTAATAACACCCAAATGTATACTTTTGACAGTCTAAAATGTATTTGTAATCCAATATAAGCAGTACGCTTTTATTTGTAGCTATACATACATTAAATACTATTTTAATTCATTTTGGTTTCATAAACTATTTCCTGTAACTTCTACATTAAATAGTAAACAAAAAATTATACGATTTGTGCACTTATACGATTTGTGAGACAAGATTAGCAAACTATCCATTTGTCAAAACTGATGTAGTGGCATTTAATCAACCCAAATAAACCGGTGAATAATAATAGTTAAAGACCAGGATTTAATCAAAAAGTTAGATAAGTTGTAAACAATTTTTCTGTAGCTGAGCTAGCTTATCATACCATAAGAAAGAAAAAAGTGATTTTAAGTAATGTAATATTGAATAAAAATTCTAGAAATAATTTGAATTTTTCATAACGAATCTTTGGGCTTAGTTTGAGATTGTTGTTAAAGTACACGTTACCAAGTTTAAGTTGTTACTGAATTCGAGTTTCTAAAACAAACATAAAAGAAAATCTCACCAGCTTCACTGATGCGTAAAGATCGTTTGAAAAATTTTAAATTAAAAAAAAAAAACTTCTCAAGCCTTCTAAGCCTTTCCATTCCGAGTTTGCATAGCTCAATAAAAGTGCAACTTTCGCGGCAAAGCTCAAACATAGGAGTAAGCAAAACATATTAGATTTTATATTGCTCTTTTCTATGTAAAATCTCTTCAATCCCTCCTCTGTGCTATCTATTCTTAGGCGGCCTCGTGCAGTATGATGTCATTTCTCAACAACAATTTTAGGTCCCCCGCCCAGCTTTGTAAGGTAAATGAATTATTTAACCCGCAGTTCAGTATATCCTGGGGAAAATAACCGAAAAATTGGATTTCACCTCAGGATGGTTAAGTCAGAACATAGATAGGGCAATAAAGGATATATTTTACCTTTCTTTGTATAATGGCGGCGAGATGGGAGGAAGTCGACTTATTTAAATCTTTGCCGTCGTTGTTTACTGTTGAAATTTATTTTATGCTTGTGGCAACATATCACAGATCCACCTAATTTTGGAGTTTTGGAGTTACTGATTTTATCGGGAAAAAAACTCAGAAGTTTTTCTTTTCCCCCGAAGACAAAGCTACACTACACCTTACAGCAATATTGAAAATTTTGCTTTTAGTTTTTTTTTATTATTATTCTTTCTTTTAGATATACTTCTTTTAATTAATTGCTATATTTGTTTATCTATGTCAACAATTCCATGGAATTACTGAGGATAAGAATATTTATAAAATCCTAGAATTCTGTAGGAATATTGAATTGAAGAAAGATAACTTTTCATAGTATAAACCTAATCTTACTGCTTGAATTCTTTTGCTTATAAAATAGCATTTAGATTTTTTAACTGCTGAATTACTCATGCATTTTCTAATAACGTCATTAATTACTATGTTGCGATCAATCAAAGAATGAGCGTAAGCGCATTAAGGTTAGCTATGTTTAGTTAAGTATGACAGAGCATTTGCAATTAATTGATTGATTGGTTAACTACGCAAAGCATCCTTATACTATTATTTCCTTTAGAAGAAAGCATGCGACAAGAAAGCCTTTGCAGAGGAAACGGGCTTTTATTTACGCTATACATGACAAAAAACTAAACCCCCCATGTAGGCAGCGCCGTTGAAGTGTCCAGAATTGAATCTGGGACAAATCCTTAGGGTTTGAGGGGGCAGTTCTCCCCATTTAGAACCCCCCTTTTTTTATTTATTTATTTATTT